CATTGGACTAAAATTGAATGAAATGCACTATGTAAACAATACAAGAAATGTCATTTTATACGAATTTAATAAAAATTCTTAGGCGACACTAAATTTTGTCAAACCTGTTATCTTTATATTTTTTTAATCCCCACCTGTATGATTTGAAGAGTTGGGTTTCTGCGATGGCTGTTGAGACGCCGAGGCCACAGTATCCATGTTGACACACTCTCAAAATACTACAACACTCGATACTTTCCGCACCGAAAAAAGCACCTGATAAAACTGAGCGATCTTCATAACACCGCGGTCCGGGTGGTCTCCTCCTGGGATTGTTGGGGTGTTGTTCCGACGACAGTGGTGCGACGCGACGTTGCGGCCGTAAACAGAACTACATACTGCCTTATCGACTCAGACAACGTAAATATAACAGTATATTAATATAGCAAATCAGCAGAATAAGCGAATTTCCATTTGCCTGATTTGATTTGCACATAAATCTATTTTTTGTACTAATTATTTTTAACAAGTACCTAGGTTACTGCTGGAGGGTAATAATGTGTGTTTTTATATTATTAATAGCTTAGTATAAAATAAATAGATGCGCCAGGTTTGAAATATATCCATAAACAAGCAAACCAAAACAGTTTACTTCTTCTCCATATGAATAACATGGGAATTTTAAACTTTTTGAACTTTTTGAACTTTCTCCGTAAAAAATAACCGCACAAAAACACTTCAATATACTAAACTATTTGTTTTTTTTAAGTTCTTCAAAATTGTTTAGGAAATTTTATGTTTTGAGGGTAAAGCTTAGAAACCCCCATTTTTACCCTCATAAAACCCCCCACAAAACCCCGTTCCCATGGTTCGATCATACTGGTTCATGAACACTTTTGAATGGATGTGGGTTTACACGTTTGTGCCAAATTTCACCTCGGTCCAGAATCGATCGAACCTACAGCTACCGATACCAAGACAATTTATATGTCTTCCAGTAACATTTAGTGACTGAAGGTGTACATTATAGTATGTGTTTAAATCAATATCAAACTAATTATAAATCAAGAGTAAATAAAATGTTTGTATGGCAGGGGCGTCATTTGGGGGGGCAGGGGGGGCATTTGCCCCCCCCCCTTGGATCCTGGGCTTGAGAAAAAATATACTGAACTAGCCAATAGACAAATATTTTCTCCTGTCAAATCCTAAAAAGCACAGCAGACAAAAATCTGGACCATTCTTGTACAGTAATTTGAAACAAAAATTATTATTGTTTTATTTTCTTAGATAGCACATTTTGAGTGTACATAAATTAGTAGTTTTGTTATTCATTTACTTTTTCTGTTTGGTGCTGTACGATAAACCACTTACTTCTAGTTTATATACCGGTATACAGTATACATAAAAATTCAGATTTTTTAGAAGCATTGCTTTGTCATTTACTTTTATGAATTATTCAAGCATTAAAATTATACATGTGTATAAATTTTACGTAATTTTTTTTAACATTGTAGACTACCAATTTAATATAGTTAAATATAACCTTCTGTACTTTTGTGTCAAATTATTTTATTGGTGATAACATTTGATTTGCTTTTAAGTTCTTAAATACTTGTATTTTATAAAAAAATAAATAAAAATAAACTGTTATAAAGCTATAGGCTATGAACAACCGTATTCATTTCTAAATGTTGTACAAGAGAAATTGGTCATGAATCTAATAACAAACATAATATTAATACATCATGGAACTATTGATCACGTTTCTTAGATGACTAACTTACCAACATAAAATTATTGTGTTTCTGTCTGTTGTCAATAATTATTCTTAGTTTCATTAATTTTCAGCCTAAATTTAAATAAATTTGACTCCTATTTTTTTTTTTTTATTTGAAGCGTTTTTGACAATTAAAATAAGCTTAAATCCCTCTTTTTTTGTTTAAAAACTGCAAAATTTTCCCGGACCCCCCTTGTTTCCATACCCCCCATACCCCCCGGTGTTTGCCCCCCCCCCCCCAAGGATTTGGTGAAATGACGCCACTGTTTTATGGTAATACAAATTATCAATTTTTCCTTTACCAACGCCGACATTACGTTACAACGCATTGACATACAAATGAAATGTATTTAATAAATGGTACCCATGTAAAATAACGTAAAAGATTTTGTAAGATTAAAGACGAACTAGATGTATGAAAAAAGATTGGTAGGCCTAGATGTATAGAGATTATGTATGAATATTGTGGATGAAATTAGTTGTAAAGTTTAATAAACCAATATATTTAGGCATGACCATTTTGGATATCAGTAAAGTAATAATGTATGATTTTCACTATAATTATATGTCAAAATTTAAGAACAACAGATTTCTGATGACAGATTCTTTAATGTATCCTATAGTTACAGAGGACTTTTACAAGGAAATAGAATGTGACTTGCACTATTTTGATACCTCTGGATATAGTAAAGACCATTTCTTATACTCTGATCAAAATTAAAAATGTTACTGGAAAGTTTAAAGATTAATTAGATGGTCATATTATGTATGAATATTGTGGTTTAAGTTAAGACCAAAGTTATATTCTTATATTCCTCTAAAATGGTTAGAAGAAGAAGACAAGCCAACCTTAGAAGTTAAGAAAGTGAAGTGAGTAGGGTGCTAATTGTTAAACATCTCCATAGACACCAACATTATTTAAACTGTCTTGCAATTGGACAAGATTACTACGATGCTGTCACAAGAATTAAATCTACAAACCACCACCTTAAAACCAAAACCTTAACAATGAATAAAAAAGTGCTATCTTTTGATGATGACAAGAGGTTTATTCTGGAAGATGGCATCAATACTCTTGCTTTTGGCCATTATAAAATTGATCAAACATAAATCTATAACTGGCATTATTCTTTAGTCTTTCATCCTGTCTATTATTAAAAAGCCATCTTTAGTTTTATCCCAACATCAGAGAAAGAGATTTCTAAATAATTGGCTAAATTAAACACGTCATTACCAACATGATTGTTATACACAATGTCTTAAAATTTCAATCGTCTTGTTAAGATAATATTAGGAAATTTACATAATCACATAAATATCTGTGTACTTTGCTGCAAGATTAACAGATTAACGTCAGAAATTATTTATCTTGCTATTGAATGTGAGAAAAATATAATCTTTAAATGGATACCGGGACATTGCTTTATGACAATGACTAACAATGAGTTAGTTGATAAATTAGCAAAAAAGCAATATCAGAAGGGATCTCCTTACAAGACATACAAATACCAATCGAGGATTTTAAAACCCACAGGTAATCCCATATCACGTGAAATTATATAATAAAACTCTCCTGGAAACAAACAAGGCAAATGGTACAAAAAATCCAAAATGAGTACAAAAATATCCCCTGGTTTAGAAACACTAAAATGAATTGATACGATCTTATTAACATTTTTAGAGCTAGATTTGGACACGCAAACGTAAACAATAGCCTACATAAAATCAAAAAGTATTTCACACCACGTTGGATGACTGCACGGTCGCACGGATAACAAAGTTGAAACAATAGAACACGTATTACTAAAATGTCCACAGCATAGTTACGCAAGAGTAGCATATGCTTTAAAAAAATAATAAAAAAGATAACCGACAAAAAGTATGGACAAGTTATCACTTTGACAGATCTAATGAAGACCAGAGACCTACTAATTGTTAAACGCATTCCTTCGCATGATCAAAATACCTCTTTAGAGAATACAAAAAACAGACTGACACCCAACTGACACACTCAAAACAAACCTAAATGTTTCTCCCGTGTGTTCCTGGCTGGTGGATTCTTCATTCCGCGGTCCTATCCTCTTTCGGGTTAAGGCGCGACCTACATTGGAAGCGGAATTTGACGGTCTGAGCGGGTCTGGGCGGGTCTGCCGGAAACAAACACATGTAGCGCTGTCTCTCCTCCTACACTGACACCGACTGTAGTGGTGTAGTTTGCCGGGAGGGAGGAACGGGTCTGTGCTTGTCGGAAACGAACCAAAATAGGCGCGACCCGGGGCGCGACCTACATTGGAAGCGGAATTTGACGGTCTGAGCGGGTCTGGGCTGGTCTGACCTGGTCTGCCGGAAACAAACACATGTAGCGCTGTCTCCCCTCCTACACTGACACCGACTGTAGTGCCTACTACTAATCAACTAAACTAATCAACAAAAAGAGTTGTAAAGTTGCCTAAAAACACAACATTATAAACAAATTGAATTAACAAAAAAGTTAAACAACAAGATGTTGAGTTTAATAAATTTGATAATAAAGCAAATTATTTGTGCTGTGTGCACTGTGACTGTGCAGTGTTGGTGAGTTAAATAATCCCCAGAGCCCGTGAGACTGGCTGCAGTGTAGGAGCGTCATCCCGCTCCGCTTCCGGTCTGAAGAGTCGGGTCTAATGGTCTGGTCGGGTTGGCTGATCAGACAAAAATCTGCTTCCAATGTTGGTCATGCCTTAGGAAAGTCTGCTTGATAGACCCCAAGCAGTGAAGACACTCAACCCTGACCTTCCTCAAAATCCCATCTTACCATTATAAATATCCCAATGTTTTTGAAAAACAAATTACAAAATAATAATGACCATGTGAATATTAACTATGTTAACAAAAACTATTGGCAATTGTATAACCATGCAACTAACAAACTGTTCATTTGAGATGACAATACTAACTCGAAGGAAGTAACCAAAATGAAAAAGATATGTGTAAAATATTGAACCACGCGGCTGCATTGTTATTACAGATCAAAGCCAGCCATTTTTGACAAAATAGAAGGAAAAAAGACTGAAGTTGAAGTGAAGTCGAGTCGAAGAGTCGAGACGAGAGTCGAAGTGCGCACAGTGAAGTCTCTCACTCACTCACTACACTACTACTAACTTTACTACACTTACACTGAACTGAACTGAACACTACACTACTCACTCAGACAGAACATTACAACTGAACTCGAACTGGGCGAACTGTCAGAATAGAAAGAAGAATCAGATGAAGTGACCTGCTTGTTGTGGTCTAATAAATTATTACTTTTCGGAATACCAGCTACTATCTGTATAACTTGTTAAGCTTTAGGTAGTTAGTAGACCTTAATAGATGTTGTGTTGAAAGAAACAAGACGTAAATTTACTTGTGGCTTACTAATTTCCATGATATTCTGTCCCAGCGCTGCGCTGTTGTGATTGTAGGCCTACTTTAGGTAGGGGCTTACCTATATAATTGCTGCCAGGCATATTTCCAGCAAGTTTGGTTGGTTAGGTTAGGTTATGATAGTTTGATTTTATAATAGATATATTTAAAAATATCGATTACTAATCAATATTTTCGATTCGATAGTTTCAATCAATATTGGCGTAGCCCCGTTAAGAAACTGTACCCCATATTTCTCTAAGCTCGTGCGTTGTGATACAATAGATGCAATATGATGCATTTTTTCAATCTTGAGGAAATCGAAGCACAAGGGATTACTCCCTTGACGTATTTGCAAGACAGTCCACCAGCAGTGACCACAATTTCCGGTTCGGATAGTCTTCCTCAGCCTTCAAATATTGACAATTTGGATGAATTATTAGCACAAAACCTTGTACCGAGTAGTGCTGATTGGAATCCACTAGCCCCCTTTAATGACGAGGAAGGAAATCCACCGCCCTCATGTTTGTTAAGGATTAAGAGGTAAGAAGCTACAATCATAACCTTAGCTAATGATAACCTAAGTCACTCTTGTTCATAGATTTAAGTTGAGCACCCATCTTTGCCTGGGAAAAGTAGATATTCCTCAAGAATTCAGTCTTAAGGTTACCTATCAGTTTTGTCTGGGTCTATCTCCGGTTCATGGCTTATGTAGAATGCAACATAAATATAGGCTAGGCTACCGGTAGGCCTAATCCTTCTACCAATGTTTTACACATCATCTGTCAGTTTTTAATCTTAGCTTTTTGTTATGACTAATGTAATTAGAGTAGGCTAAAATTTCCATTGATTAGAATTACAACACATTAGCCTATTGTGTATTTGTTTTAGGGATATGATGGCTATCTACCACGAACCACCTCCAGGTATTCTAGTCGTGCCTGATGATCAAAATATGACTGTTGTCCATGCTCTCATCACGGGAGCTTTTGATACTCCTTATGAAGGAGGGTTTTTCTATTTCATCCTCCGATTCCCACCTGATTATCCGATCAGGCCTCCCAAAGTACGTCTAATGACAACTGGTGGAAATAAAGTTAGATTCAATCCGAATCTTTACAAGTGTGGAAAAGTGTGTCTCAGTATTTTAGGGTGAGTTGTCCATACCCTAATTTCGTAAAGTAAGTATTTTAATCTGTTATCACTTCTTAGCCTAAACCACCATCCTAATTTGCCGTGATAACATTGACCTCAGAAAGAGTATCTACTCGAGAGTTGACCAATTTATTCACTTTAGAAGCCTAAACAAGTTTTAAAATATTGGTAGGTTATACGTATTGAGGATTAAGTTACATATTTTTGTGAAAAGATACGGTGAAGGTCTTGCAATAGCCTACTTGAGCCAACAGCTTACTTGTCTGTACCAAGTTCAATGATCAAACTTAGATTATTGATTTAAGATTTATCCCTTCAAGACAGGATTTTTTAACTCCCGTCAGATGCTGATAAGGAAGGTATTTTTCTCGTTATGCCCTTTGATGATGTTTGGCATAAGTAATAATGAAATGAAAAACGTTTATTTATCCCAAGAATTATAAACTAAAACAGAGAGTAGCTATACAACATAACAGTACAATATTTCTAAAATAAAATTAAATTGCCTTACTTATGGGTTAGGCCTACATGGGCAGTTGCCTGTGCGTAGGCCTGGCTGTTATCAGTCTAAGCAAATTGAGGGCACACACTAAAATTGGGAAGGTTTTAAGCCTTGTTAATTTCACTTGATTGTTTAGCGGATAAGAGAATGTCGGCGACGACAGCCAAAGCCAGTGCAATCTAAGGCCCCTATTAGCCGTGAGCAACATGTGGCGCAGCTAGTGGAGCCGCCGGTGTCGGACGTGTAGAGGGGCATGGAGTCAAATGGTGCCTATTAGCCTCGGGGAGACCGGTAGCGCCGCCGAAAAAGCTGCCCGAGGTGTTGCCGGGAGGGATTTTGCCCGGCAACATGTGTCGCGACCGTTTTAGTGTCCAGGCAGTCGGGGGGCATTGCAGTATGGAGCCTATTAGCCGTGGGCAACATGCGACGCCACTGACTGCGCTCGCATGCGTTATTAACGTGAAAACGAAGCCTGTCACACAGTCTACATCGTGGTTTGAGTAGATTGAGAGAGACGTGCCTCGCCATATTGCTGTTATATTCATTAGTGACTTCTGTTCACTTTATTTACCCAGACCTTTTTAACAGTGTATTCTTTCCTTTTTGTGTCATTAGCGTTTTTAGTTGTCTTTATTTTAGATAAACAATGTCTAGTGCTAATAGTGACGTACAAATTGTGGATGCAGTCACTCAACGTCATGTTTGACACTAGAGTGTTGTGGAGAATTCCGCTGTGAATAGTGCTTGCTAGGATAAAATTCTTTTTAAATAGAATTCCAAACACCTGGGAGGGGGGGGGTTATCAACTGGAGTTTTAGGTCCATATTCACAACTAAATAGTTCTCTAGAGGGTTCATGTCCTTCCAAAGTAAGAAACTTCCATAGTTAGGCCTATTATGTATGTAAACAGTACCTACTTCTAACTCTGTCTTACTCGCTACGATCGGGAACAGCTGTAAAATATCGAGCAACTATCGGACAATGTTTTGTATACAGTCCTAGTTCGATATAGTTAGCCTACCGTACCTAATTCGTCGTCATATGCCACCACCTACTAGGACGCGTAATGACGGACATAATCTCGTCAAATCCATAATCAGCAAAAAGCAACTCGTCACTCAAAAAGCAAAGTCTTTTTATGAGTGATGAAGTAGGCTCGTCAAACCACATTGAAGGGCTAAATAGAATTTTTTTAAGTAGCTGGACTTGAAACAGGAACCTGTAGCCTATAACTGTCCATCATGTTGTAGGACTTGGAGTGGACCAGCTTGGAGTCCAGCACAGACCCTCTCTAGCGTCCTCATCTCCATACAAAGTCTTCTCACCGACAAGCCTTACCACAATGAACCAGGATTTGAGAGGGTGAGCTTCTCATTTGGCCAATCAAAACGCAGGGATCTTGGATAAGTCAAATGCCAAGGGATCAGAACAAAAATTTTAATTGTTTAGTAAAAGGTTTTTAATGTAGGGTTTGAAGATTTAAAATTCAACCTTTCATTTGAATTGTATTGAAAACACATGAATTCAGTGTTTCTATATGACGTTTACTTACCAATCACTTCTAAGTCTTGAGTAAAGGCGGGTTTTCCTAGCTGCCGAATTATGCGATTGTATAGGGCTGCTTGATTTTGAATTTCATCCGAGTTGTCTAGTGCTTGTGTTTATCTTTTGGCAAGGGCATTTTCCTAACACTGTAATATTCAACTGTGGAGTGGGTTTATGTACCAGTTTTTGTAGTGTCACGTGGCGAGGGGTTGTTCAAAGTCTGTTACCAACCCCTCGCTGTAATGTATTGATTCAGTAATATCATGACAGTGCTACCTAAATGTTTGTATATAGGCCTAGTTATGGTTTTTTTAAATTGCTATTTTGACAAGTTCGAAGCTTTGAAGCATTTTGTCTAGTAGTCGGGAAAAACAAGAATTAGAAAGCCGGAAATCAGTATTGAATATCATAATGGTCTTGAAAAAGTCAGGATTTTGTCTTTATTTTGTTGTCTCGTACAGAAATTTTATGGACCATGTAAAATCTAATCTCAAAATTCATGATTTTGTCGCGATCGCACAATACGAGGATCGCCTTTCCGTGACAAAGGGAGGCGATGATGATGTTTAGATGGCCCCAGGAGATGTTCATGAATTTGCCGTGGTCTCGTAAGACGACAATGATGTTTCCATAACTGGGAGAGTCGATATTGATGTCTTCTTGGTTGCAGGAGATAATCAGAATTTTGCCGCGATCACGGGAGGTGATGATATTGTCTACATAACTGTGAGAGATTTTCATGATTTTTCCGCGATCGCGGGAGAGTGATGTCTACACTCTACACGATTGCTTGGGTTTAAATTTGAGTCTCCTGTAATTATGTAAAATATTGGTTCACATCAATATTGATTGAAAACAAATTAATATTGACAACTCGAGGTGAGGTTTATATTCAGGAGAATATACTGCTAATTGAATGTAAGTCTTCCTGAAAGTACGATAATGTGCTTAATTTCTGTCAAGTTATCTTGGATTGAAAAAAAAGGTTACCTTACGCCTAACTGTAACTTGTACTGAATTTATTATTGGTGAAGTTCTATTTTTGTACAGATAAAGATTCATTCTTATTACTGGTAGAATACGATAATTTAAGTACAGTTATGATTGATCTGATAAGATAATGGTGTATTCATAATTTAGCACACTGCAAAATGATAGTCATAGCAGAAATAAATATATTTTAAATTGGACACTAGGCTATCTAATATTTTTATTAAGATTTTCTCCATTTAGGCCTAAGTATAATTTAATAAGTGTGAAAAAAAACTGTTTTTTTCTTTTATTTATCTGCAATTGTAAGTTGTAATAATATACATCATAATACTCATCACACATCTTAATAATAAACTAAATATTTAATTGTTATGAAATAGGCTACTGAAAAACTATTTGTATGTATTTTTATTTATACAGGGAGAGGCAATGAAAGCGCCCCAATTTATAAATAGAACAAATTCAATACTATTTACCCTATGGACAGGTATAAATAGCACATCAACACACAGCTTATCTTTTGCCTTTTTAACCTAACAAAGTAAATTTTTCCATTTCTTGAAAACAATATCCTTTATGTGACGTCCTTGTCCTACTTGACATTCCTTTTCAATCATTTGAAAAATACCATTGAAAACTTCTTCCAACATTTCTTCGGGAATCACTTTAGTTTCTTGGAAATTCAAGAAAATCTCTAGGGCAACTTTGAAAAAACCTTAAATTTCAAGTAGCTTATAGGGAGAAGACAGCAAAGAGCCAACGTAAAGCTTCCAACAACGAAAGCATTCTGACAAACCTCTTTGGACTTTAAGTTTCTGCGACTCACACTCTTTCAACATTTGCTGGTGTACAAAGAGTTTTGCGGCACCCACCGATTATTTTTATGGTTTAAGCTGTTATCCTTAATCATTTTACCCAGTTCCCTATTGTTTTCCAATCTGGAACAGCGCCATATTGACCAAGTATGGAATGTGGTCCAAACAATCTCTGGGTGTTTGCATAAGAATCACTATTTTAAAAATAGGTTCCTACATCAAAATCTCAGTGTTAAAACCCTCAGGCACAATGTTTACTAAAATTGCATAGTTTGATTTATGTTATAAGCACAGCTGTTCATTCTTTATTGCTTTGCTTAAATGAAGTTTCAATTTTCAAAGAAAGAAAATCGGGGTGCTCTCACTGCCTCACTCTGTATCTAAAAGAACAACTTTTACCAAAACATATAATTGGATTTTAAATAATAATTAATTGTTATACAGGATTTTCTGAAACTTTTTTACTTCAAAAATGTAACATCAAATGGTACATACGAGTCTAGGTTTTTCTAATGAGTTGGATCTTTTAGGAAAGAGTACCTGGAGATGTAGCCCGGTACAATGAGATAATTCAACACGAGACGCTAAGAGTAGCTGTCATCGGTATGTTGGACAATGACTTTGCCATCAACATGCCAGCTCCTCTGATCGAAGCTATGGAGAAGAGCTTTCTGCAGTTCTTTGAGTCTTACGAAACCCTCGCACAGAGCAAAAACAGGCTCACAGGCACTACAATGAATGTAAGTATTTGCTGTTTAGACTCCACTTTACCTCCTTGTCCAGTTTAAAAATACTATAAATATTCGGACACTGAAACATTTGGAATCAATGATATGTAAACAAAAACAAAAGATACACCTTGGGTCTAGAAACCAAAGAAGTTATAAGACCAGTACATTATATCTCTCTTAATGTGTTTACCCTCAAATGGGTTTGCACAACCAGCGAATAATTTAAATCATATTTTACGCTAAACAAAGAAAACAATAATTTTAAATACGCCAACACAACAAAAATTATTACAGGCGAGTTAGTAGGTTAGGCAACATCTTGAAATTTACATCAACGCTTGAATATATGAAAAATACTGGATAGGTAATTTTGTTACCCATGGCTAACTCTTCGAGGCGGTATTATTTTTAATATACACTGGAATCTGCTACGGCTGTTTTTTATTCAAAAAGAACCAAACTATTCTCTTTGGTGTTAGGCATCAGCCTTAGTGCTAGTAATCTTTCAAAATTTGTACACCCAATATTTGAGAATGTTATGGAAAATTAAAAAATAACCAGAGAGTTATTAACTGGAATTTAAAAGATCCAATTCACAGCTAAATGTTTCTCGTAGGAGTTCACAAACCTATAATGGTTTTCATGTTTGAAAACAATACATCTGTCTCTGTCGTACTCACTATAATCGGGAACAGCTATAAAGGAATTAGAAACTAAAGGCCAATGTGCCACAGTCCTAGCTCGGAATAGTACACTAATTCATTGGCAGACGCCACCACCTTCAGTGTTGCATCATTACGAGAACAACTTGTCAAACGTAGCAGTGCCTTTTTAGATGTGACAAAGATGGTTTGTCAAGTGCAGAGGCAGGTTTTGTGTGTACCTTCATTTGTTTCGTAGGCTAAGGGAAAGGATGAACAAAGTTATTTCTACTTCGGTTTTTGTATCACTTAACTTTCACACAAACTTGGCCTATTTGCGTCTTCAGTAAGCTGGTACATGTGACACATTTCGAGCTAAGTGACAGAATGTGGAGTGGTAATTGGGGCATTTAAAAATGTAATGTTTGCTGCCTGCATGTACTATATTGTCATACACAAAAATTATTGTCAGCGTCGTTGCTCTGCCCTAGGAGGATTAAACATTAAGGAGTACACACGCCGGAGTTTCATTGAAGCCAGCGCTGCCGTACTGAAGAGGTGAGAGGCAGCCCTACTCTCCCCCCACGCATACTGCGTTCTATGGGTTTTGTGCCAGCTGCGTTAATGACATTATAATTAACTTACGCTGAATAGTGTCTAGGGTTGTCAGCGACCGGGAATTCCGAAAAAATCTGGAACTATGCGTGAATTTTAACCGCCGTGAAAAACTGGGAAATATGTGTGAAAATGGAGCTGCAGCAATAATTGCATGAGCGATATTAGTTGCCTTTAAAGCCTTATCATTGTTAAATGACTTTCGTGTTTGTATAATTGTTCTTATCATTATTTTCAATGTCTTTGGTAACATATCTTCGCTTCCTGATGAAATGTTTTCTTTGGTTGGTTATACAGAGCAATCGTAAACTCGGTACCTGATCTCATGTCGGATAATCTTTGCTGCAGTCTCTACTATTCTCATATTTTCTTTCTCAGAATTGCTGTTCTTATCAGTGTACCAATTCGATGATAAAATATTGTAGGCTGTCCCTGTAAAACAAAGAACGTTTGGCTTTCCAATTTGTTCAGCAATGACAATCTGGTCACAAAAATGGTTTTGTAGCTTTCTTTTCAGGTGTTTTTCGCTGTATGTAGGTTCATGTGGAGCGTAGGATTTCATGAACTCGATTAACTCCCTAAAGGAGAACTGACATTCGTCATTATTTTCCAAATATTCACAGAGTACCTCAAAAGCTTCTTTCTTCACTGAGTTTTCTGGGCGCCAAGCGTTGCCTGAAATTTGTGTGAAAGTAGGCGGGAAATTTTCCAGACGACTGAAGTGTGTATAACATGCACGATGGTATCGAGCCTTACTGGCAACTAGGTCAATTTCGGTGTTGACTCTCAACATTCCTTTGTCTGCCCAAGTGTCAGAACGCTGCAAAGCCATAGTCTTTAAGGATGAAACAAAACTAAGCGTTGTAACGACACTATACGGCACTTGGCGTTCTGGATGCTTAAGTTCTTTAGAGTTAATGTCTCGTTCACAAAACATACATTGACGTTTGAAGTTGAATTCACTGAGTAACGAGCGGACATTTCGCTTAACAGGTAGTACATGCATGCACAGGGCATCAGGGCAATGCGACGGGTGTATTCCTTTTATTCAGTTAACATGCATCACTACACTGTTCGAGTGTTTGATTAAGTCAGGAACTCCATCATTACGCGTTTTACCATACACTGACGTATTATGTCAATGCCATATAGTTCCTTCCATGATATTTCAACTAAAACTATAACAATATCAAAGAAAGCGTTTTGTGTTGGTTGTGAGGGGTATTTTCTGGTTGACTACAGCTGACTTTAACTCTTCTCATACTAGCTACTCATTTAATCAGCTGTTACCACATAATTTAGATATAGGCTATCAGCATTATATTTAACCAATTCCAATGACTAAGCATAGTTAGTGGGTTGCAAGAAATTTCAAAAGGGTTAATGGTTTTAACAAGTCCATTATGGAAAAAGAGAAAAAGCTTCATTTTGTAAATATTTTGTAAATTTATATCATTGTTATGGATATTATTTTAAGGTTAATATAAATAAAATGTATGCTTAGAACGTATTAACTCAAAATTTAATTATATATTACCCTCATACATGAGTCCAAAACATTTAATTTGAGACACAAATAAGGCCTTTCAGACAATTACTTCAAACGATATAGCAAAAAATCTAAATTTCCAAGATGGCGGCTGTTCCCCAACTGGGATTACTCGGGACATTGTTCTGAACGTTTCAACCAATTTTCAGCCTGTTATCAACTTTGTCCGGGTCATAACCTTACTGGATATACTCAATAAATTAATATATAATGCACAGGACTAAAATAAATGTATATATATTATTTTGAGAAACTCTTAAGGAACACATAAATTGTTAATTTGTAGAGATAGCCTACATCATAAAAGTAATCATATGTTCAAAGTCCAGGGCAATTCTTTTAACTTGATCTTCAATAGTAAATAATAAATAATAGTTTTCACAGAAAATATTTACATAATTTGATAGGAAATTTAATTTACTTTAAGAATGCCATCAGTGAATAACACATGTGTTTTAGTTTAGCGGGAATTTTAATTTTGAAACAGTGTGCATCGCTTTTTTGCCTATCTCTCCCATGTTATAGTGGCGGCTTTTTGTCACTCTACGGCTCCGCGTGCCCCTCTAGTGTTCTGCTAAAGCTGGCTTCACCGTAACATGTATATCCCTATTCTTGTGCCCTCTCCTTAATCTTAACCCTCCTAGGCTCTGCCACTCACAGCTAGTATTGTGACTGGAGCTTAACAATAGTATAGTTTTTTATTGGTTCTTACAATTTGTCCTGCATAAACTGTAAGACATTTAGTTGAATCTGTCAAATGTGTTTTAAACTATCCTACCTTACTTGTCACAAATAATTGATCCGCTAACATCACTGGTTATTATTTACTATTCTCTAGGATCCCTTTGGTGAGAGACGAGGAGTCTATCAGTACGGACAACTTTTACATCGACTGAGAGACATTTACAACCGACTGACACAAAAGAGGGTGGAAGAGAGTGTTTCTTCTTCTTCTACTCCAGATAGCAGTGATTGATTGTGTATTCTCCTGTAAAGACTAACAAAAACATTACACTTTTATGTGATAGAATAGTTATCTTTGAGTCTTATACGTTTTGATGGAAAACATAACATTTCTTCGAGTAGCTTTTTACCCTCCCTGTTGCAGCAAACCTAAGTACTTGTTAAACTAATGTTATTTAAATCCTACTAATATTATGAATGAGAAAGTTTGGATGTATGGATGTATGTATGTTTGTGACAAGTAAACACAAAAAATACTGGTCGGATTGGGCTGAAATTTGGCATGATGATAGCTCACATTCCCGATTAACATATAGGCATATTCTTATCTCAAAAATCCTTTTGGGCTCCACCCCAGTGGCTCTGCTGTTCCCCATGTTAACCTTATGAGTATTCATATTTAAAGGGAATTAAAGAATTTAGCCAGCTGTTTCAACTAAAAGAGTTGGTTCTATGATATGCAAAAGCATAAAAAATTTATAAGATTTACCAACAGGGTGCAGCACTATTATTTTTTTCATTATTTATGAAAACAGCTAATTTGAACTAAGCAGCAACAAAAAACTGTGATACACAATGAGAACTGTCAAAGTGGGATTGTTTACAGTTATGTTTATGTTTTTAATTTCATGAATAATTTATGATATTTTGCGAATTTTTAAAATCTATCTTTCTCTATTGTGTAGGTGAAGTAGTAGAACATTATGGCTATGGTAGATGTGTAATACTATCGCATACCGTAAAATTGAGGAAGCAAATTTTCTCAAACCGTGTTTTCTCACATCGCAAACGCAAAGATCGGGTATAACTGCAATAAGCATTTTATACTTATTTGTCAACCCCGTACGAAGGACGGGTACTCTGCTAGTAGGGAATAAATGTGATATTTTTAAGGAGACATTTTAGTGTAAATCCAATCAGGCAAATGGAAATTTGCTTAGTCTGCAGGTTTGCTGCGGCGGGGGGTATTTCATAACTCCAAACATAAAGTATTTTGATGACAGCTGATATCAAAGAAACCTGTTTCCCAAGCTCTTGATTTTCCCTTACTCTAAATACATTTACTATCCTCTACTCTCAATCAATTGGGGAATTCCTGGGTCTCAAAAGATTAAATTAACTTTCATTTAGCAAGCTATCGTAATATGGAAGTTAGTACTATTGTAGGTATGTAGCAAAAAACTAGGTTTTAATTTTGTACTATCTCAGTAACTTAAGAAAAGAACCCAAGTTTCCGTGCAATTTGAAACTGACACATAATATAGATTTAATTTGCTTGAAATGACAATTTGTTAAAATCTGTCCTTAATAGGTAGTTGTGTTAAACATATACCTTAGACTCTCAAAGTTCAATACAAGTAAGGCTGACAGTTAATCAGGATTCAAATATTCCAATAAATCAGTTTTCCTAGAGTCAGTCATAACTTAACCATGCATCCTTCAGAATGATGGTAACGGCAGATAAAAGGCTACTATTGCTGTCGCCCTGTAAGTGTAGTATTAAACAATTCAACACTGCATACAATGCAATGCATTAATTAGCAAAGCCCAACTTATCTTCACAAACCAAACAACCGAGGGCATTAAAAAGAGTGTCTACAGTTACAAAAATGCCACATAAGTAATTTTATTTGTTCGCTACAGAAAATAAAAAATAAAAACAACGGTTTTTTCCAGAAAATTAAAGGCAGGAAACTGGCGAAATATCGTCTTACAAATTTGTTATTTAATCAGTTCATTTAAGTTAATATTCCATTTTACCAGTCCAGATTTTCCAGAGTGCATATTTTTTTATGGGAGTCTACGGTACATGACAAAAGATTCTTTTTTTGAAACATTTATACTCCATTAGTTTTAAGTTATTGTTTGTAACGTTAAAGTGTACAAAGTTTATTTATTTAGAACTGAAGTTGGCTTTGTGTTTATTGTGTGTAATATTTGTAATTTAGTACTGTACTTTTATAATGCATTCATCACTTTGATAAATAGTTTAAATTTATCAATGCATACCTTAACAGGGCTGGCCTAGAGATCAATTTCTGTGTATACAAATATTTATTTTGTAACTTATTTGACTTGAAATCTGTCTTTAGTTGGTCAAATGCTACGTCATGGTCTGCTTCAGTTGGTTTTCCCATGTATCAACCAATTTGTAGATAGATTATACATTTAAACTGACACTTTTTATCAATCTACTCTGCAAAGAATTATGTTTGTACCTGTTTGACTCAAACCTCTGATTTTCTCTGATAAACTACCTGTAGGCCTACTCCATCTCCATTCAAAACAGCTCCTTACTACAGATTTAATTTATAGACTGCTTGTATTATGAAAATAGATTTTTAATGACTTATAATTTTTATCCATTCCACTGACCACTTTACAAATCAGTTGCATCATAAATGGCAATGTATCTATTTTTTAATCTTTATATTTTTATCTGTTTAACTAAAGGTTAAACATATTATTAACATATTTAAAAGATCAAAGGGTGTATGCCCTTGGATAATTTAATAACTTGGCCAGCCCTGCAAGTAGTTATGACTTAGTTTCATTGTTCCATTCAACTAATGAAGTGCTATAATTCATAATATATTGTTACTTATCATTAACTTTAAGTTATGAATCAAGAATGTATTTGACCATTCACCAATTACATGATATCAGTCTCGTCATAAAAATTATAAAATGTTGTAAATAAACATAAGTTAATAAAAGATTAGTAGCCTACAAATAAAGATAAATCTTATGTTAACATTTAACTCCAATCCAGGGTGTTACTGGTCAATGCAACTTGTATAACTGGAACTTCTTGTTTTACTTGTATAATACTTTGTTTTTATTTAAATCTGAAAGGGTGTTGTAAGGTAATGATTATTTTACCATTTTACCAATCAGGGTGATGTATTTATAAGTATCAGTAGTATTGATGTCTAAGAATACTAATATGCTATTTCATTGATCAAGTTGAACCCGCCTTAATAGACTGTGGCTTTAAAAATCATCAGATATCTGCCATAGAGAGAAGGTAAATGAAGAATTGTTTTGCATACATTTAATTTTGACTTTTTTCTCAATTTTATTAATTTATACAAATCATACTGTTAGATAAGAATCAACAAAACCATGAAACGCCTCTATAAGCCCATTTTTTGGCTACTTTGACCTTATATAAAACACTGTAATTTATATATGTTTTTGATGAGGATATTTTTTACCTCGCTATTTATTTAATTCTTATACAAAACATAAATATACAGGGTGGCTGAAAAGTAACTTGCACCCCCACTTAACTCTTTAACTATTTGAGATATTTGAAATCGGTTTGCGGCAACTTGTTTGAATATGAAGGGCTACAATAATTATGGTCAGTTTTGAAAATTTTGCCAGCGGGGGTAGGGGGTAGCTCAAAATGTTCAAATAGCAAGTATAGTCGAGTTTGGTATCATTTTGTAGATCTTGACGAAACATAACAATTAACATAAAGTAAATAGACATCGGACCATTAGTAACGAAATGGCAGTTCAAAATTACTTTAAATAACCATTGTCTCAATAATTTTTAGCTGCCATTTTGTTATTAATGGTCCGATTTCTATTTTCTTTATGTTATTTGTTATGTTTCGTCAAGACCTGTTACATGATACCAATCTCGACTATACTTACTATTTGAACATTCTGAGCTACCCCCTACCCCCACACCCCTAAGGGCAAAATTTTCAGAATTGACCTTAATTATTGTAGCCCCTTATATCGAAGAAGGTTGTCGCAAACCGATTTCAAATATCTCAAATGGTTGAAAAGTTTAAGTGTGTGCAAGTTAATTTTTTGCCACCCTCATGGTTATTTGGATTTGAAACGTTTTAGGGCGCCATTTTGTTATTAGTGAGCCGATTCTGGTTTTCTTTATGTCAATATTTTTGTTTTGTCAAGACCTGTAAAATGATACCAAACTCGACTATACTTGTCATTTGAAAATTTAGCCCCTCATATCTAAGAAGGTTGCCGCAAACCGATTTCAAATATCTCAAATGGTTGAAAAGTTAAAGGGGGGTGCAAGTTACTTTTCAGCCACCCTGTATATGTGTGTTGCAACTGTTAAGTATTCTATTCCTCATACTGTACTGTTATGTGTATAACCTACTTAATAACTACTGTACTTGTTAAGAGTTTAGTAATTCATATTTTGTACAAACAATGGTATATTAATGTATTTTTCCTACAAATTGTTTAAGTTTATTCATTGTTGACTCATACAATGTGAATTTAATAAAAGTTTATTAGAAAAAGTTGATTAATTACAGTTTATTTACTGTGTTTAGTAATAATCACCCCCTACTATTTACTTCTTTTGATGGCATCCTATATAATGCATTAATTTGAGCATGTTAAATATGCTTTGTGATTCAGGAACAGTTAATGGTGGAATTTATTTACAGCTAGCTGCATGGCAGACTTTAACATTCACGTCATGAATAAAACAATTACATCTACAGTATATTCAATGATTTTAGTCATGAGTCAGATGAATATATTTTACCTTGCAGTTTACTCCAATTCGTCTAAGGTCCATTTTAGTTTGGAGAGAGTCCTAGAAATGGATGAGATAACACCTTGTTAATAGATTTTTTTCAGTTTTTCGTCTGTTCTCTGTACTGCCTCAGCTAATTAAGGATTGGCATATTCTACTAGCATTAATTAAAAACACCATTGCGTTGGTTGGTCTATGCTGCTAGCTAGAGGTTCTAGATTGGCAGTTTCTCTTTCACATTTGCAAGACAATTAAAATATCAGTATTAATTTATTATGTTGGAAAGCAGGAGCGTTGCCACTGAAATTTATTACAAATATAAATTGATTTTAGGCAGCATGAGAACAAGCACCCCACAAATGTAGATAGTTATCTCACTCACTCACTACACTTGTCTAAGTCCAGTTTGATTCAATATTTCATCAGCCTTTCAATAGAATAAATAATACATATTTTTATCAAAACTAAAAAGATTTAGGTATGGGAAACATTGAAATTTTAATACTTCATCCAAAATCATCGGTAACATACCAACGATATCGATGTTTCGAAAACATCTACTATCGATGCTCATCTCATCCCTACAACAGCTACATCTAAAGGGGGTTATTCTTAGACGCTCTCTTATACACAATCTTTTCACAATTTTAAAGCTGTAGATAGAAACAGAGCGCCGTTAGTCGTTCTGGGAGACTGGTGAGTTAACACAGCAGACAGCTATTTCCTCTTTTCCCTCCACCGCACCGGTGCAAGATTGTATTTTAATAATTAATTCATACGCTTGGCTCATAGGCACTATGATCTGTAGAGTAAGTGAGCCATGCCATGTGTTTAAGAATTACATATTTTGAGGCTCAATAGTGTCTATGATTTGTAGTGTAAATGAACCCTAACAAAAAAAAAATAAATGTACCAACTTGTTCAACACACTGTACAAGCAACCTACAACAGTTTATTTTCGGTTATGGTTTTTTGATACATTTATTTTTTTAATCCTATATACTTGACATTTGGAGGATATAACACTTTTTACCTTCCCGTTAGCACCAAATATATAGATACTCGTTAAATCTAATGTTATTGAAATGGGAAATAACTATATGTCTTGTTTATGGAAATATTTTAGTAAAAGATTTAGCAAATTGAAATTCGCTTAGTCTGCAGGTTTGCTGCAGTGGGGGTTTGGTTATAAAATGAGGTAGAATACCTCACTTTGCAGTCACCTCCTTTTGCCTTTATTTTATAACTAAAACTTATAAGGTTTCAGCTATTTTTATTGGATCTTTTTGAATATGGTGTTGTTTGATAAGAAATTGAAATACTAAATAAAAGTGTACTTTAAATTTTTTCATAATTAGCCTAAATATCATAATCAACAATTTGTTAGTAATTTAAATTACGAATATTAAAATGGCAGCCATTTAAAAAAGATTTTACTGGACCAAGTAATATATATATATGTTTATATATACAGCATTTAAAAACAGATGTTTGTACTGGTTAATTAATTGAGCCTTGGTTTATATCTATTTTCTAACAAAACAGTTTCATTATGTTCTGTGGGAAGAATACCTAGATATAAAAATATTGATGTAGAAAATACAAATGGTGGATATTTGATTGACAAAGCAATTATGTAAAAGGTTGTATTCTTGTTTTCTCTTTATTTTGACTCATAGGAACTATTTTCCGGTTTTTACCGTTTACTTGAGCCCCCCACACTCCACACACTATCGAAGAGTTTGCCGGACCTGACCATGACGACTGACCCAACATCTAACCGGGTGTTTCCCACACACTCAGGGGGCAGTGCCGAGCTTTACCTATGGGCGGACGGGGTCAACTACACACAGCACACAGCGCGAGCACGTCAAGGACAAGTAAGTGAGCACCATGCTGTCTCTGTCTGTCTGCATAAATACTCGTTACAAAACGCGTGCTCCTTGATGTACAGTATTTAATTTAAATTCTGTAGTAAGAATAGCTTTAAACTTAACGATATTTTAAAAACTAGTGAACATTTCACATATATACAGCTGACTCCTGACCCTCGTAAAGAGTTAACCCTAGGTCCTTGGGGGGGGGGGGAGCTTAAGCCCCCAAAGCCCCCCCCCTGGGTGTGCCACTAAACTTTTGATTACTTGGCAGGTGAGAAGTATAGCCATTTAGGAACCCTACTATATTAAACTCTTATAAATTATTAATGTATGCCCATGTAGCACAGATGGTTGGGCCAACGTTGGCCAACTGTGGGACAGTTGGTCGATGGTTGGTTGGAGCTTCCACAACCAACCAACCGTTGTCCAACTGTATATCTCGTAGTTGGGCCAACCAATATTTACAACTGTGGACCAACATTGGTTCATTGTTAATGAAATACATTAATATGCATTGCTGGGTATCATACATCAAGCCAACCGTTGTCCAACCGTTTTTCACTCCGTTGGACCAACAAAAGATACTTTTGTTGGACCAACGATGGTCCATAGTTGAGTTTACACGACTTTCATTCTCTGGGTCTAGCTTTCACAACATAATTATAATAAAATATCTGGTTTTACAATACCTTTATCAGTTCCAAAAGTTTCCAAAAGTTTTTGGAACTGATAAAGGTATTGTAAAACCAGATATTTTATACAGTTCCGGGGCTACAACAATGAATTTTAATAATTATAATAATGCAAATATTTTTTAAAATAATATTCTTTAACTTATTTGCAACAATTTAAGGGGAAAGAGTAATTAATCATATAACAGGCAATTATAATAGCATTAATAATCTAACAGTAATTAATTAATATATATTCAAATACCAGTATCCTCTCTAACTAAAAAAAAAAAAAAAAACTACTTATGATGCCTTAACAGATTAACAGAATCATATTATACTGTGTAGTATCAAAAATGTTTGAAGTATTGCGACCATTGCAACTGTCGGCTACTCTTTCACCACTTGAAAACTCTCTATATCAACAATCACAGATAGCTCAGTGGTAAAGTAAGAGGCTCATAAGTCGAAGGACCCGGGTTCGAGACCCGTCTGGGCCGAAAAATTTTGTTCTAGCTTTTTTTCAAAATTTGTTTTTATGAACTATTAATCAATTTACTCAACTAATAATTATGCTTTTCGTACTAAATCTTTATTATTTTGAGTGAAATAAAACGGTTGGTCAATGGTTGGATGGAAAACAGTTTAAAGAGGTGACATTTCTACCGTTGGCCAACTGTGTGGCTCCACAATTTACCAACGTTGGCCCAACCATCTGTGCTACATGGGTGGTTAAGCCATTGACTATATAACACTAGTAGAAGAACATACATAGAATTATGTATTTTTGAATTGTCCATGTACAAATTGCCGTGGAAATAAATGAAATGAAATGAAATGAACTAGTGTTATAGTCAATGGTTAAGCCTCCAGGCCATTTATATGATAATACTAGCAGTTACCCGGCGCGCGTTGCTGCGCTAACAAAATACATCTGTCTGTGTGAAAAGCATTTTTTTTCTACAAATAAACCAACGATAGTCAGGGATTCCCCTAGTGCCTTATAATGGTGATTGCGAAAGCAAGACACTAAAAAGGAAATTGTAGTTGCTTAAATTCAAAGGGTAATTCGGATGAAATCATCAGTATTCGCGGGATTAAGACTATTTCTCCCTTAAACCTACCACTGATAATTTTTGCTTTAGGCATCATTTTTTTAATCGTTAGTCTGGTAACGTTGCACAGCTTCGGTGGATTTAAGTTTCGCATTATTATCGGAGTTCTTTCTTTTAATGACAGTAATGTCGGCGCAATTTGAAAGTAATTATCAATTTAAATGGTTTTGGCACAATTATTCTTAATACATACAGCACCTCCCTTTTAATCAATTTTTTGTTATGGTTATAGGTACATACATATATAACGTTTTGAAGCATTGGAAAATCATTACTTTTATAGCTACAGAAGGCAGTGGTTTAAGTAGGAGTAGAAGAAGGCAAAAATGAATTACAATTGGTTGGTTTGGTTGGATGGATTGGTTGGTTAAGAAGAGAGAAGTAATGGCTTCAATGGCAATGGCAATGGCAGTGTATTAAAGCCTCAGTGTAACCGGTTGATCTTCTATAATTTAACAAAATTTACCAAGGAGGATCCATGTATTCATATATACATCGCTCGTAAGTTTTTTTTAGCTTTGCTTTATTTTATATTAGGAAAAGTTTTCGCTAAATTCAATCCTGAATGTAACCAGCTTACTTTAGGAAACTCCCCATGAATTTTCCAAGCTAAGTTCCAATTTGACCCAGACCTAGTGGTTGTAATTTGTTAATTTTTTGGGGGCTTGTTACGATTTACTTTATCTCACTAATTAAATGCTATCTCAACATCTAAAGCAATATTATAAACATAATATTTGCCCTGAAACTTAGACCTTTCAAAAACCCATCTCTTGAGTAGAGAAGACATGCCAGGTTGCCCTTAAGAAAAGATCTTTACATTTTCAGTGTCACCAAAGTTCATCGAAATAGGGAAATGTTTCTAAAATGTCTGTTGCACTTTTCTCAAGTTTTATTCCATTTCATAGTACTATGGAGCATTTAACTTACTAACTTAATCATGTAGGCCTAGCCCTCTGTAATTTAGGGTTAGGATTTATACTGGCATAGCCTATGCCTGACTGCCAATATTAAATATCTGAGCTTAAGAACACTTGGAATCTTTGAGCACTGTATGTGGTTTTTACACCATATGGAGTTTGGATAAAAAATTAAGTTAACTTAAATAGGCTGTAGGCCTAATATCACAAACCACTTATTGAGCTAGGTGAGTGATCTAACTTAGGCCTAGCAGTTACAAAGAGATAAGGTTACCAAAATTTGTTGACACTAGATTTAACTTAGACTTTGACCAAACCCTGGGGGCCTGCCCTGGAAAATTATTTTTAAAATAGACACTGAAATTAGCGGGTTTAAGTTAAGCTATCTTGAGAAATATTTTAATTAACCTAGCTTGATATAATGCTAGAAGCTATGCAGTTAAAGTAAGCTTATCCCCTTATAATTAGAATAGGCCTACACTATTAGTATAAGTTTATTAGCAGCTTAGTAAGTGGGTCATTCCATATCAAATCAACAAGGCTCTCAACCTGACCATCTTGGATTTTGATGAAATTTTGCATACTTGTAGTATTTTGAGTCCTGAATCCAAATATGCTTTTTAAAAAAATCTATCTTTTATAGTTTTTATGATATACATATTTGAAAATGGTAAAAATTGGCGTTTTTTACCGTGCGCGCAAATCTAAAATGTTGTCTAGGATGAGTTCTATTGGTCCTATCAAGTTGTACAATGGCTCATTTTAAAGAGGATTCAAATGCCTTTACTCTGATACCAAACTCAACCTACTTTGGTAAAAATTAATTTTTTTTGAAAATTTCAAAATATGTTTTTAAATAAAAATTTAAGATAGTGTTTTTTGAAAAATTTGAAAATTACATATGTTAAAGAATGTAATCTAGTAAGTACATTATAAAAATTTCAAAATGGGATGATGATGGGATCAGCAGTTATGATAAAAATACTTGACTATGGTTCACTGTTTCCAAGCGTTTTGGCGCATACAGCGTGTACGTATTAACCTAAATGTATCATTTAATAAGAGTCTATTAATTATATGATTAAAATTAAAAATATCTGCCTATATTTGAACTATGTATGTCATATTTTGCTATAATATAAACTAAATCTAGCAAATAAACAACATTATTCAAGTTAACAGAGTTTCCGTCAACCTTTGAACATGGGGGCTACTTTGAACAAACTTTCCACTTTTCATTTTTTATTTTTTTTTCATATTAATTTTATCTTTAAATGATAATGTTTATTATAATTTTCTATTCCCAGATAAATACTCTACTTAAAAAAAATATTTAATAGTGCATACTATGGTTCTACAAAAAATTAAAAATACTTATTTTTCACTGAAGTTTTTAAATTTTAGTAAATAAAGTCGTCCAAACTTCCATGTCTACAGCAAACCCAGTAAGTTTATGATTTATGACTTAAAACCATAATTGAATAGCCCATTTATCTGGGATTAAGAAAATACCTGCTTTGATTACTTTATAAGCAGTAATAACTTTAAAAAAAAGAAAGAAAAAATTACCCAATTTGCTGACCCTTACTTATGGCGTCACGACCCTAAGTTCTGGAGCAAAATTTCCCGGACATGAAAAAAAATACTTGGGTTTTAAGTGTTATTTTTTTAAATAATTTTTCTAATGAAAACAGATGTTTTGAGCTTTAGTTATTATTAGCAGCTATAATCCAATTCCTTTATTTGACTGCTATGATATTAAAAAAATACCCTTGCAAAGTTAAAAAATAACCGGACGGACATTTTGAAAATTCTCCGTAACTTTTTTAATTTTTGACATATCAAAATAAAAGTTATACAGAAATGTGGTATGTGGTTTGTGGTATTTAAATCCACAAATCAGTTTTCACTAAAAAAATTTTAATTGTTAAAGTAAGAATACCGGTACATTATTTATACTTATGAGCAGACATTTCCCTAAAAATAAATAATTAGGATATCATGGAATATTATCTATGTATCAATAATAAGGTTACTACAGGATTTAAATAGATTGATCACAGTATATTGTGTGACAAAATTATCAATGCTTGTTTGTCTTTCTCTCTTGTCACGAGAGGAAAGACAGACAAACATGGACCTATGAGTTTTGACTCAGGTTCCTCAGTATTTTCCAGTTGTGTTGCAACGATTTACTGTAATCAATCTTTAAGTCTGCCTTTTCACTAGGCTGGAGACACTAGTCAGCCACTAGATCTGTGCAAAATCACATTGTGAAGCACTTTACGTTTACACTATCAGGTCGCAGCGACCCACCTTGGCAGTAGCGACCCGGTCTTGAGAAGTTGTAATTTGTTTGACAGGTACACAGGTCTAACTTATGTTTGTCAGTCTTTCCTCTTGTCTCAAGACTGAGTCGCTACAGCCGAGGTGGGTCGCTGCGACCTGATGGTGTAAACGTAAAGTGCTTCACAATGTGATTTTGCACAGATCTAGTGGCTGACTAGTGTCTCCAGCCTAGTGAAAAGGCAGACTTAAAGATTGATTACAGTAAATCGTTGCAACACAACTAACTGGAAAAGACTGAGGAACCTGAACCAAAACCCATTGGTCCATGTTTGTTCAAAGGTTGACGGAAACTCTGTTAACTTGAATAATGTTGTTTACTTGCTAGATTTAGTTTATATATAGCAAAATATGACATACATAATTCAAATATAGGCACATATTTTTAATTTTAATCATATAATTAATAGACTCTTATTTAATGATACATTTAGGTTATTAGGCCTACTTGCACGCCGTATGCGCCAAAATGCTTGGAAACAGTGAACCATAGTCAAGTATTTTTATCATAACTGCTGATCCCATTATCATCCCATTTTGAAATTTTTATAATGTACTTACTAGATTACATTCTTTAACATATCTAATTTTCAAATTTTTCAAAAAACACTATCTTAAATTTTTTTTCAAAAACATATTTTGAAATTTTCAAAAAAAATTAATTTTCACCAAAGTAGGTTGAGTTTGGTATCAGATTAAAGGCATTTGAATCCTCTTTAAAATGAGCCATTGTAGGCTACAACTTGATAGGACCAATAGAACTCATCCTAAACAACATTTTAGATTTGCGTGCACGGTAAAAAACGCCAATTTTTACCATTTTCAAATATTTATATCATAAAAACTATAAAAGATAGATTTTTTTAAAAAGCATATTTGGATTCAGGACTCAAAATACTACAAGTATGCAAAATTTCATCAAAATCTAAGATGGTCAGGTTGAAAATAATTTTTTATTGGTTGATTTCATATGGAATGACCCAAGTAGGCTATAGGTCAAAATCCGTTACGTGCCCACAACTCTATTTTTTCCAAAAACTTCTATAGGTAGGCTAACTTATTGAAACCTTTTTTAGGTAATAAATTATGAAAAATACAATAGCCTATTTAGAATAGGTTTTTGATCACACGTTATTTAAAATTGGAGAAAACACACAAAATAGTAGAATATACTCTAGCGTCGCCAGTAGTGGCCTGCGGTTATGAATCACTGTTGACTTTGTGGCAACAATGACATAACAATAATTTTAGTTTAGTTACTTAAAAACAAATGTTAAGCTGTTCGAGAAGTTTGGTTGGGTTAGGTTAGAACAGTGTTATCTAACCTAACCAATCAAACTTACCGGACAACTTAAAATTTGCAGTACAGTAATTAGTTATACCATTGACTATTGGATACAGAAGAAGACATCCCATCTCTATGGATTAGCTGTCGCCAATTTTTTACTAAAAAAGAATGTAGGCTAGTTGTGTGAGCCAGTCACAGATTGCGCTAGAGTCTAAAACTCTATTTTGTACCTTAATTTTTGTTACTGACATACTAGTTGCTGGGTCACAACAGTTGCTATAGCTCATAATAAGTCATTCCACCAGTTTGACTTGGTAAAAACCATCGTGTATTTGGCAGAAATCAGTAATTTAGATCAGCGCAATCTGTATTGTTTATTTTTATGACTTTTCCAATACAATGTGTTTTTTGTTATTTTGGAATAAAGAACTTATGACTTACGTAGGTGGCTCACATCAACTAAGACAAATTTTATTAAAAACCTGGCTACAACTTTAACATGGGGATGGAATGTCTAGTTGTTTTATTAATAGTCAAAGGTTATACTGTAATATTTTATGTCTTTTCTCCAAATTTAGGCTATATAACGTGTGATCAAAAACCTTTTGACGACACGACTATCTTTGCGGATGCAAGCACTCCTGAGGAAGCCAGGGCCAAGGCTGTACAGTCCTTTGAGAAAACCAAGACGTGGTTCAAAGCAAATAAGCTTTGCCTAAATGAAACCAAAACGCAACACATGACCTGCAGTCTAGCTCGGAATCCCATCCCTGATAACCTGCCTGAAGTAAAATTATTAGGCTTCATAATCGACCCCAAACTCACCTGGGAAAAACAAACCATGAAAGTGTGCACCAAGCTATCGAGGACATTGCATCTCTTTAGGAAGCTCAAACCTATGCTGACAAAGCAATACCTACTGACTGTCTACTTTGCTTTGTTCCACA